GTAAGTTCCATGGTATTCAATGGAACTTACTTCCCAGCAAGCATGCACAGGACTGCAGCTTTAGGACCCAAGCAGCCAAGAGCACCCTTGTCTCTAGTCTCAGGTTGTGCTATTGCAATCGGAGAACAAAAAAGAAAACGTTGCCTTTCCATGGACCTTGTGCTAGAATGAGTCACCAGTAGTTGGGCAGCCTTGGTTCGGACACCAGTGTAGGAAGACTAAATGCATCATTACAGATTCACTGAGCAGAGGTTGATCCATGGCTATTAGCCAGGACAACTGAATAGAATCTCCATGTCCAGAGGCCCCGGCAAAAAAGGAAAGAAAGTGAAAGGGCTGTTTCTGACACACACCCCTTCCCTGGTCTGCCTGTGGGCCTCCCAAAAGCATTTACTGGCTGCCCATTGTTGGAAGCAGGATCTTGGACTAGACAGACCCTTGGCCCGGCCCAGCACGTTCGTCCAGTATTCTCATTTACTTAAGGCATGAAAACCTCTGAAATGGCTTCTACAAGCCAAGCTAAATGGGGCATTTAAATGCGCAACTGTTTCAGTTAAAAGGTAGATGATTAATCAACTGAAAATTCCAAAATCAGTCAGAACCCCTCCCAAAAAAAATCTCCACATAGCCACAAATGCCAAGAGATTTCTATTTGTCATGAGCCAAACTGAGTCAGAAGCAACAGGCTTGGAACCTCCATTTCCCCTCTCATGGATGGATGGGAGTCGGTTGAAAATTCTGCCTAAGGCCTCAAAAAAGCAATCAACCAAAATCTGTGGGTAGCCAAAAAAACACCCCAATACATTCCAGGCATAATGTGATGAATAAAAGGTGTGACGAATTGCTGAAAGGTATCTTTGAACTATTGCAGACTGTTTTTCTCTTGGCTAGATCAAGTTATTTCCAAGAGTTCCTTATATTAAATGCTAAAGGTCCTATGACTGTATCGAAACCAGGCCTGCCCCTCCCCTAAGCCAAACACAGTGACCCACAAGTTAGGGCATTTGATCTCCCAGTGCCTGGAGATGCTGGGCTTCAGACCAGAGGTGAGCTCTGGGGCTCATCATGAAAGATTGGCTGTGTTTGGTTTGGTGGGGAACATGTTGTGTGGTCTTCATCTAAATGGTGTTTTCCCTGGGGACAAATCCTACAAATTAGTATTTAGGGGGTCCCCTTGGTGGTCCCCCTAACTTGCAAGGTCGTGCAAATTCAGAATTCACTAGGACCACTTCGCCTCTCCTTGGATGCTCTGCGCCAATGGAAATGGTGGAACTTTTAGAGTTTGGCTCAGTGGCGTCTACACTTCACTTTTCGTGTCTAGGCCTCTGCTGGGCTTGGTGTCCTGACAGGTGCCTAACCTTGCCGCCTCTGGATATCCGCCATGATGTTTGTCCTAATTAATCCAAATTAACAGAGAAGTCCAGAAAAACCCCATTGCATATGTGGCTGTGGTCACGTCAGTGTGCCTCACGGCTTCCCGTGCTGCACACATGGGGCACCAGGTACCTCGGTGACAGCATCAATGGAGGCTCCCGTCTTCAGCAAGAGCTCCATCACCCGGATGTGGTTCTTCTTGCAGGCGATGTGCAGAGGGGTGAAGCCATTCTGCAGGCACAGAGAAAAGGAGAGGCCCTTCAGCCTCCCTGGAAGAGAGACACGTGGCTCCCCCTCCTGCCACTTGCCTGCCCACTCACCAGCGCCCGAGCATTGGGCTTTGCCCCCTTTTCCAGCAGGACTTTGGCCACTCGGTGGTGGCCACAGTGGGCGGCCACGTGCAGCGGCGTCAGGTGGTCCAGCGTGATGTCGTCGATGTCAGCATTGTACTGCAGCAGAAGTCGCACACAGTCCAGGTGGTCTCCCTGGGAGGCCATGTGGATGGGGGACAGGCCGTTCTGTGGCAAGGAAATGCAAGGTTAGAGCCTGGCGTGACCCGAGGACGGAGACCCAGACCATCAAGGGTCTGGAAACCAAGCCTTCTGGGCAATGGTTGAGGGAGGTGGGTGTGTTTAGCCTGGAGAAGAGAAGACTGACAGCTGTCTTCAAATATCTGAAAGGCCATCACACAGAAGATCTTGCATGCTTGTTTTCTGCTGCTCTGGAAGGTAGGACCTGAACCAACTGATTTAAATGACCACAAAGGAGATTCTGACAAAACATTAGAAATAACTTTATGGTGCTAAGAACTGTTCAACTGTGGAATAGACTCCCATGAGAGGTGGTGAACTCTGCTTCACTGGAGGTTTATAAGCAGAGGTTGGGTGGCCACTTGTCATTGATGCTTTAGTTGTGATTCCTGCATTGCAGGGGGTTGGACTGGATGACCCTTGGGGATCCCTTCTACAATTCTATGATTCCATGATTTAAAGCACTCTTGTGCCACTTTAGCAGTCATGCCCCCCACACAAGAATCCTGAGAATAACAGTTTGTAAAGGGTACAAACAGAGATGCATTTCCCAGCACCCTTAGGAAACTACATTTCCCAGGATTCCTTGGAGAAAACCATGACTGTTAAAGTGGCATAAGAGTGCTTTAAATATGTGGTGTGGAGGTGGCCCCGGTAGCTGGGAAACAAGAGCCACAGTCTGATGCCAGGGTGGGTGTTAGCAAAGGGGAAAACCACCTCTGTCTCTGGGGAACGTGATTTTGCTTGCCCCACGGCTATTCCCCCACTGCCCATCACCTTGGTCTTTGCTTGGATGGGAGCACCGTGATCCAGCAGGATTTCCGCAATCCGCACATGCCCATTCCTGGAGGCGCAGTGCAGCGGTGTCAGCTCGTCCTGCAACAATGGGGAAGAATAATAATAATAATAATAATAATAATAATAATTTATTATTTATACACCACCACCCATCTGGCTGGGTCACTCTGGGCAGCTTCCAACAAAATATTAAAATAGAATGAGAGTCAGGGGTGCAAATCAGCAGCGAAAGAACCACATGCACCACCTTGAGTTACTCGGAGAAAAGGTGATATTACCTCCCCTGGACAAACACCCAGAAATTTTTGAGGAAATTGAAAAATATGCAATACTTTTAAAAGCACTTTTACAGATCAAAAATCACATTATTACTTTAGGAACATAAAATGTATTATATATTACTTAGTTTGACATTAAACTAGCTGGTATATTAAAAATACAGTGTATTGAGTTAGTCATTCCTTTTTATATTTTTGATTAGAAATGGATCTATAAGATGCTGAGCTGCAAGGAACCTTGCATGTCTTTCATTTTGCCAATTTATGAGCAGCAGGGAAAAATAACAAAAGCAGATGAAACCGTCAACATTATGGTAAAAAAGAAAGAAAATTATTATGTATTCTGAAAACTATTATGGGTCATATTCAACTAAGTCCTACTTAGGGTACACCCGTTAGAATTAATGAACCTAAATTAGTCATATCTATTAATTTTAGCAGGTCTACTCTGATTAAGATGAGCGCTGAAGACCACCCAATGCCCCTTTGGGCCAAGCAGACATCAAGCACTCATTCCTATAATGACTCTGAAAACAAGGGGGTGGGGGACGAGACAAAACTCAGCGAATACTGCATGAAACTTACTCAGTCTCATTTTCTGAGTTATCACTATCGGTTTCTGCTTCTTCCTGTTGGGGGAAAAGTGAGGATTTTCCTCCCTCCCATGTTCTGCGCTTGCACTTCTCATGCCTGGAGTTCTCACTAAGCTGCAGTGTAATTCTGAAGAAGTCCTTCTCACTAAACTCCTTTGCCAGGCTCCTTTGGAGTAGCTTCTCTTTGAGACACCCGTCCCTCTGTGGGTGAACATGAATTCATGCAGAGATGCAGCAGCTTCCTCCTCCATAGGCAACATTGGGGGAGTCATTGAGCCACACAAAAGGGAGAAGGAAGAGGACTCCAATTTCTCATTGTACACAGCTCACTCTACAACCGAGAGCCACAAGGGGCTTTGCCCCGTCTGGGCTGCCTATATCCTCACGAGGAGGAGATCAAATCCAGAGCAGTGACTCTTGTGGGGAGGCCACAGACACCCTCTTCTGGGCCTGAATATGTCTGGCTTCTCCTGCGAGTCATTAGAAAGAAGGGGAAATGCCCAAAGGTGCTAAAAGGATTTCTGCACTACAATATGAGTATCATATTCGAGAGCTCTCCAAAGAGAGATGAGAGTTGCTGGGGCTTCCGCAAGGAGCAGCCAAACTCCTGCCAGCAGCTCTTGAGGTTCACCTTTCTCTTTGGTCTGAAGATTGGTGCCCATGATGTCCTCATGTTTAGGTAAGTAATGTTGTGCGCACATTAACAGTAAATAAGGTAAAACAGTACAAAGCAAAGGTGTTGGTAAGCATAATAGAGGAATTAAGTGTTATCTTGGGAGGGGGAGAGTGTGAGATTGGAACAGGGCTGCCAACTGCTGGGGGCCCAACCCTTTTGGGACCCCCAGTATTTTGGAGGTGGGGCCACCCCCAATGTTCAAAAACGCCAGAGGAGGCCAAGCAGCTTCAGTGGCCTCCTCCTCCTCCTTCTGCAGCAAAGGGGAAGCAGCCTCAACTGGTGGTGACAGCAGGAGGAGGAGGAGCTGCTGGCCATTGAGCGGCGCTGCCACTGGGTTTGGCTCTGCCCCTGGCTCCTCCTGACATCAGGATGTTGGGACGTCACACGCGTGGTGTTGGCCCCTGCAGTCTCCCTGGCAAGTTGGCGCCTCTGGCTTGTGATGTTGGTAGTGAGTGATGATTGGATGAGAGTTTGAAAGGGAGTTTGAATACTGATGAGAGGGTCTGTTTGGGAGTGTGTGGTTGCTGGAGGGAGAGTGTGGATGGTGGCAGGGTTAGTTTGATAGAATAAGGACTGCCTTGTTGTTCACCATTGTCTCATAGAGGACAAAGAAACAAATAAGATAATACAAAACCGAACCTATAGGCTTCTGTCCGCTTAATGATCATAACACCCCTGTTTCTCCTTTCTGCTTTAATAAATGCTTGTAGTGTGCACTCATGCCATTTGACTACGTTAGAGGCAGGAGATATTCAGGGATAGCTCAGCCAGTGGATCATGAGACTCTTAATCTCAGGGTGGTGGGTTTAAGCCCCACATTGGGCAAAAGATTCCTGCATTGCAGGGGGTTGGACTAGATGACTCTCGAGGTACCTTCCAACTCTACAATTTTAATTCTTGAAAAAACATAGCATCTGTGTTGGCAGCAGAGAAAAGGAGGGGCTGTGGACCTCGCAGAGGGCGAGAGGTAGTAAGGGGCAGCTGGGGGGGGGTGTGCAAGGACCACATAGCTGAAGGGGTGGTGGCCTGACAGGGCTGCCCTCCTTTTCTCCTTACTGCCTCTCCTGATGCAAGGCCCTGTCTTGGTTGGAAGATTCAGAACAGACAAAAGAATGGACTTTTCTTCCATGCAGCACATAGTTAAACTGTGGAACTCCTTCCTACAGGAGGAAGTGTTGGCCACCAACTTGGATGGCTTTCAAAGAAAATGAGGCAAAGTCATGGAGGGGGAGAGGGCTCTTGATGGCTACTAGCCAGGATGGCTATGTTCTGCCTCCAAAGTTGGCGACAGCAAGGCTTATGGGAAGCAACCATAGGAGAGCATCAAATTCTGCTTGCGGGTTTCCCTTGGGGCTTCTGGTTGGCCCCTGTGAGAACAGGATACTGGATGAGAGGGGCCATTGGCCTGATCTTATGTCCCTACCTTGGTGCGGGTCTCGATGTGGGCTCCCCGGTCCAGCAGCAGGCGCACCATGATGATGTTGCCCCGGCGGGAGGCGATGTGCAGTGGGGTGATGCCATTCTGTGTTTGTGGAGAGAAGAGCAGAGGGAGCTGCCTCATACCCAGCCAGACCACTGGCTCATCTTGCCTAGCAATGCCTCTTCTGATGGGCCATGGCTTTCCGAGATCTCCAGCTGGTCAGTCCCAGTCAGGGACTGGACCCAGGAACTTCTGCATGCAAGCCAGCCCTCTCCTAGAAGCACATGTGGAGCCATTTCCAACCCGAGGGACCCTCTCCTTTCTGGACAACCTTCCCAAACACCAGTGGTGGGCGGAACCAGAGCATAGCTGTCAACGTTTCCCTTTTTTAAAGGGAAATTCCCTAACCTATTGGTATTGGGGGACTTCAACATTCATGCTGATGCCACTCCCTCCTCACAGGCTCTGGACCTGGTGTCTTCCATGGCGACACTAGGGCTCTCCCAGTTTGTTTCGGGCCCCACACATCAAGCAGGCCACACGCTGGATTTGATCTTTGGCGCCGGTATAGATGTGATCATGTCTCCTTCGATGAAGGTGCCATGGTCTGATCACTACGCTCTGAAAGTCAGGATTGATTTTCCACCCCCACCCTGCTTAGGTGGCGAGCCAATTTGGGCTCGCCCGCAGAGGCTGATGGACCCTGATAGATTCCGTCAGGCCTTGCGGGACCTTGCTCCCCCTGGCGACTCATTGACTGAGCTTGTTGAGGGCTGGAATATCCAGCTCCTAGCAGCCATCGATGAGATCGCACCTAAGCACCCTCTGCGACCCCGCAGAAACTGGGCTCCCTGGTTTACCGAGGAGCTTCGGAAAATGAAGCGGGACCTCAGACGGCTAGAACGAGTATGGCGGGGTGCCCGTGACAGAGCCTCAAGAACATCTTATAGGGTTTTTATGAAAACCTACGAGATGGCAGTGAAGGCCGCTAAGAAGTCTTACGGCCTCCATTGCATCCGCTAGCTCTCGCCCAGCACAATTATTTAGTATAATTAGGTCTTTAACATTCCTTGAAGGACAGCCAAATTTAAATAACAATCTGACACACAGCTGTGAGGCATTTGCGAGCTTTTTTGCGGAGAAGGTCCTGTTGCTCCGCCATGACCTCCCTGCCAATTTGGATACAATAAAGGAACTGGAGGCCCCTCGACTGTCCTCGGGTCCAGTATTGGACCACTTTGACGGCTATCCCCAGCCGATGTGGACAGACTCCTCCGAGCTGGAAAGCCCACCACCTGTCCTCTTGACCCGTGCCCGTCTTGGCTGATTAGAGCGTGTCCAGATGAGGTACCCCTGGTGATATCATCAATTTGTCCCTTGGCACAGGGATATTCCCAGGGGAACTGAAGGAGGCAGTGGTGCGCCCGCTCTTAAAGAAAACATCATTAGATCCCTTAGATCTATCCAATTACCCCCCGGTTTCGAATCTTCCATTCCTGGGTAAGGTGATTGAGAGAGCGGTTGCTGAACAGCTTGGTAGGTTTCTGGATGAAACATTGGCTCTGGATCCATTCCAGTCGGGCTTCCGCGCTGGTCATGGGACCGAGACGGCTCTGGTCGCCCTAACAGATGATCTCCGCAGGCAGCTGGATCGAGGCGGGTCGGGGCTGCTGATTCTTCTAGACCTGTCAGCAGCCTTCGACATGGTCGATCACGAACTCCTGGACCACCGCCTTGCCGACGTGGGGATCCAGGGCATAGTCCTTCAATGGCTGCGCTCGTTTCTCTCTGGTCGGGGACAGAGGGTGGCGCTTGGGGGGAAATTGTCATCGCGCCACTCCTTGGTGTGTGGAGTGCCTCAGGGTGCGATACTCTCCCCAATGCTTTTTAACATCTTTATGCGCCCCCTCGCCCAGCTTGTCCGGAGTTTTGGGCTGGGTTGCCATCAGTATGCCGATGACACCCAACTCTATCTGTTGATGGATGGCCATCCTGACTCGGCCCCAGACACACTGACCAGATGTTTGGAAGCTGTGGCTGGATGGTTACGTGGGAGCCGGTTGAAGTTAAATCCTTCGAAGACAGAGGTCCTCTGGCTGGGACGGGACGATATGGGATTGAGGGGGCAACTCCCATCTCTTGCGGGGGGTGCAATTAGTGCCAGCACCGTCCGTTAAGAGTTTGGGTGTAATCTTCGATACCTCCCTCTCTATGGAGGCGCAGATTACAGCTATAACAAAGGCGGCATTTTTTCATCTCCGCCAAGCTAAGCAGTTGGCCCATTATCTCTCTCGCCCTGACCTAGCCACTGTGATCCACGCGACGGTCACCTCCAGACTGGATTATTGTAACTCGCTCTACGTGGGGCTGCCCTTGAGACTGACCCAGAAACTCCAGCGGGTGCAGAATGCCGTGGCGAGACTCCTTATGGGGTCTTCGCTGCTTGATCACATTCATCCGGTACTATACCAGCTGCACTGGCTCCCGGTGGAGTACAGGATCAGGTTTAAGGTGCTGGTTTTAACCTTTAAAGCCCTATACGGCCTAGGACCCTCGTACCTACGGGACCGCCTCTCCTGGTATGCCCCACAGAGGAACCTACGGTCTGCAAATAAAAACATCCTGAAGGTCCCAGGCCTCAGAGAGGTTAGGCTGGCCTCAACTAGAGCCAGGGCTTTCTCGGCTGCGGCCGGTGGAACGCTCTGTCACAAGAGACTAGGGCCCTGCGGGACCTGACATCTTTCCGCAGGGCCTGCAAGACAGAGTTGTTCCACCAGGCCTTTGGTCAGGGTGCCAAGGAGTGTGGTGGAGTCTCCTTCTTTGGAGGTCTTTAAGCAGAGGCTTGACAACCATATGTCAGGAGTGCTCTGATGGTGTTTCCTGCTTGGCAGGGGGTTGGACTCGATGGCCCTTGTGGTCTCTTCCAATTCTATGATTCTATTCTATGACTCCCTCCTCTGGCAACCTGCACAGAATTTTGCTTAACGGTTGCCATTAATTTGATTTTAATTAATTTTTATAATGAAATGTTTTTAGAATGTTGGATTATTTGATTGTTTGATTACTTGATTGCTGTTAGCCACCCTGAGGCCAGCTTCGGCTGGGGAGGGCGGGATATAAATAAAATTTATTATTATTATTCCGAATAGGATTCGTCGCAAGAAAAGGGAAAAGTTGACAGCTATGGACCAGAGGCAAAGCTGGGTGCAGCAACCAACATCAATGCCACCTTTGTAGAGCAGGCTGGTTTCTACACATCCTCACGCTTTCCCCCACGTCCAGGCAGCCAAGAGGCATTAAAGGAGCTCAAGGACACATTCTAGCCAGGCAAAAACACTCACAGAGGGTGTCAGTCAGGGATGCTGAAGGGGGTGTGGCCTGGGGGAAAGGGTGTGGCCTTGGAAGAAGGCCAGAGAGATGCTCCCTGGGATTGTGGTCCCAACCTCTGTTCTGTGTTGTTCCACCGTGCAGCAGTCCGTGGCTAATCAGATCAGGCACCGGAGTGCAGGGCTCCCTTTTGCACAGGTCTCTAAAGCCCCCCTGGGCGCGAGTGCCTCTTCAGCAAAGCTTGCCGGCAGCCAGGCTCCAGCCCGATCCCACCCGCACCACCAGCGCTCCAATTCTGCCACAAGCCTTACAAGCTGGCTGTGATCCTCAAGGACACACAAAGCTAACTTAGCACTTGGTCAGCTCACTCCCAAGAAGCAATCTGGCTCCCTCACACGTCCATTGATCTTCAGACCCAGCAACTCATCTCACTGTATCTCCCACGGCTGCCTCAAGGCTGTCTTGGGAAAAAGACTTGCGTCTTGCTCTTCTGACTCTTCAGTTAATGCTTATGGGACTTGAGTTTCTCCTGGCCTTCCCTCCTGTCCCACTGGACTGACAGCCAGCTCTGCTACAGCCCCAGAGGCAGGGCCACTTGCAGATGGGCATCCACCAGGGCCTGACAAGAGGTCTCTGATCTACGCTGAGACTGAATGGACCCAGCCCCCAACGACGAGTGGCTGAAGGGCCCTCCGAGCCAAGTCTGAGACCCAGAACAAGCCCTAATCCTTTCTCCTCACTCCTGTCCTGCTTCTCAGGGACCGGTGAGAAATTGTGATGAAAGAGCCCAGAGGCGACTAAACAGGGCATTTGCACTAAGGGAGGGGATCGGCCTCTTTCTCAAAGGGGGTCTTCTTTGCTGTCTCTGAAGTAGTGCAGGTGAAGGAGCACAGTGGAATGTTCCTCTGTACAAAAGCATTCCCTGAACATAGAAAAGGAGCATGTCAGGGTTCTAGCCTAACCTCGCAGGCAGGTTGGCTTTCTATGTGCTAGTTTTTTTATTTAAAAAACCTCTTTTTTCATTTTTGTACAAAGGAGCATTCATTCATTCATGCAAGCCATCCCCTAGAACAGTCTGATG